AGCTTTTATAATTTTTAAAAATCACTCTGAGAGAGAAAAAGGAAATATTTTAAAAATATATGCAGCTGTTGGTTTTTAATGCAATTTATGATCTTGACTACATTGCCATTTCCCCGGCTGCATGGAGAGACAATTCCAGTATGCTTTACCCATGTGATTCCTCATTCATCATTGGAAGAATTTTGTGTGTAGCACCCTTTTCAGATGTTTCTCTGTTTCTCTAGGTCAGAGGTTTTGGCAAACTTTTCCTGTAAAGGGCCGTATAATAAATATTTTAAGGCCAAGAAGCAAAATTGAAGATATATGATAGTACCTATATAACAAGACAAAAAGCAAATGTCCACAGTTTTCATGTTGATGCAATTCAAAATATAATAATAATTGAGTACAATATTCTTTGTAGTACACATCTAGTAATGAGAGGAATGGCATTTTTACTACTGGAACATTTCACTTGGTTGGGGTTCCATGTTATTGCAGATGTTCAGTGGGAAACCACTCTGAGCTTGTGGGCAGCAGGATGGATATACTTCGCAGACTGAAGTAGCCAATCTCTGCTCTGGGTCAGTGTTCTCAACTTCAGTGGGCATCGGAATCACCTACAGGGCTTGTTAAAATAGATTGCTGAGCTTCTGGTGGAGCTCAAGAATTTGCATTTCTAACAAGTCCCCAGGTGAATTTGATGCTCCTGGTCTGGGGCCATACTTTTAGAACACTACTCTTGATGTTGGTGCTTTGAAAAAGTTCCATGGAATACACATGTGTATATTTTATGTTTTTATTGTTTATTCATAGTTAGCTCACCTGATAGACTTTACCTTTTCGAACTCTGAGGTATATGGGGACTAGATCCAAGGTTAGATTTCCATTAAAAAGTGAAGACCTATTTAGTTAGTACAGGGTTGATCATAAAAAGAACTTTTGTCTCTTAAAGAGCTCTTACTCTCTTGCTTACAGAGTCAGGCATCAGCAATTAGGTTGTCTGCTGTAAAGAATGTTTGAATAGATCTTTTCCAATCCCATTAAACTTTTAAAGTAGTATACAATATTCCAAAGGATATATGTGGGCAAAACATAAGAATGACGTTTTTGCCTTAGATTTAACAAGGGAAATTCACCAAGCACATTATCAACATAATGCCCCCTTGGGTTGGAATTTGTTGGCATGTTCAATCCATAGAATTTAACACAGAAGCTAGTGAAAATACTTCCCTGAGGCCACCAAGGGACAAGTGAGATACCTGTTTCTTAAATCCAGGATAGCCCCTTGTCTACTTAGTAGATCAAATCATCTCTCAATTGACTGTTAAGATGCACTGGGTTGCTGGGGATGAGCTCTGAATGGCTTGAATTATTACCTGTATTGGGGTTGTGGAGAAAGGTAATGATAAACGGCAGGCTGCCAGCTAATTGTAACAATCATGTCTCACCAAAGAGATTGTTTCAGAAAAGAAGCAAAGGGAAAAATATGTTCTCCTTCTGTTTATTTGCCCCAATGGTTTAAAAAAATCAGCTTTATGGAACCATGTCTTCCTCATGACAGATGGGCCTGTACATTAGTATCGTGCTTTTGATCAACAGTTTACATTTCAAGAGGAAGGTGAAGAAACTGAATGTAATAACATCTTCAGCATCTATTCGCCATTTTTAGTTTTATAACATTGATACAAAAAATAGTATTCTGATTAGCAGCTTGACTGGCAACCCATGTAACCCTAAATAGTACTACAAACCCGGAGAGTGCACTTTTACAGACGATCACTTTTGGCGAAACAGTATGTACAATTTTGACAAATAAATACATAAATACAATCGTTCATATATAACGTTATACCTAAATGTCAATTATCATCAACAAGCGTTTCTAGTAAATTACTTCTTTCATTCACAAGTTACTTTGTTGCTTATAAAAACTATCTTCACCTTTACAGAAGAAATGACATAACCAATTTCCCCACTAAACCCACATATTAGGAAAGATAAAAAAATGAATCTCAGATACTTTAGGTAAATATTCCATTGTCTCTTGATAGAAGAGATTTGATTGAAAAACTCCTTCCTTGGCTTCTCTGTAAAGAGTTTATTTTCCCCACATCATATCACACAAAGGGGTTTTGTTCTTCAGAATTTAATCCAAATCGAAAATGATCTTCATTTTTTGATTCTGGCTATTTAACAGTACAATATTACATGTTGAAACTGACATTTGCGCCAATGTAAGAAGACACAAAGCCACACAAACTAGCCACCAAAGATAAAACTTTTTTTCCCTAAAGATAAATTTAAAAAAGAAACTTTAAGAACATAGACATTGATTACTGATACTTTCCAGTGCATAATGAATGAATAGGTGGCAAGATAGAGAGTTTTTATAAAAATTGTCTGAATGACTCTGGGTAGAACACTGTTATTTTATGTTAGGGAAATGATAAGAGTGGCTTAACAAATAATTGAAACAGTAATACGGCCACTGTCATGTCATAAAATTAACAAAAGTAGAAAGAGCTTTTTCTTGCTCACTTAAACGTTTTTTGAACATTCAGACAAACAAAAGGCAAACATGCTTAAGGCTATTGGAACACTGGACAAATGGCCTTGCTTCACCAAGCTCCATGCAGAAGAAAATGTTACATAGCAAGCAGATTCTAGCTATACGTACAGTTGGGGAGAAGAAAAAAATGCCTTTAAAATATATACATGTGGTCTTTGACGAATATTTACATGTTTGTCACATGGAAACTACCTAGCATAAAAAAGTTAGGAAATAGTTCTTTAAGACATATGATCCTCTGATTTTTGTTCCTTTTAAAGATTAGGGCTCTATTCATATGTATACCCACACATATAAAACAACTCGTAGATGTACATGTATAGTGTTTATCATGTGCAATTCCTTGACACCAAAGGTGGCTTGACTGAACATGGGATGGATGCAAGGCAGTAGTATGGGACAGAGGCTTGATTCGGCTGCACAATTGGAAGGCGAACCAAGAATGAATTTGCGAGACTTTTCCAGTGATTGGAACTCACAGCCGCTAAGGCTGCAGGGTGGGAGGGTGGCTCACCTTGTGCTGATCCATCTCTCCCCAGGCTACCTGATGCTGTTTTCTAATCAAAATCAGCAGTCCTGCTGACCATAAGATGAAGACGTATTAAGGGATGGGAAGACTTGTCTTGTATTGGATTCTTTGGGGCTGGGGCTAAGACATCCAGTGTTTTCAAGAAATAGGCCATGACTTCCTTTTGTTCATTTTGTCTACCTGTTTGCTATCAACTGCTATGGGGGATTCAAGGGGTCAGGTTAAAAAAATACATAAATAAATAAATAAATAGAAAGGTATACCTTTTTAGCTGTGGGGCTTTCTTTGAGAACAAACAGGAATTTTCTAATGAATGGTAGAAGACGAACAATGTGTGGGTTTGCTGAGTGCCTATTCTTCTTCTGATAGAGGTGGACTAGCTCGACCTGTCCTCAAAGTTCTTAGAGAGAGAATTCAGATCAAATGTTTCCTGAGATCTAAGTTGCTGTGATGCACGTTGCAAAGCGTACGCTTCACTTACTGTAATACACCCCCAGCCAGAGGTGCCTTCCCAAAGAAAGGCAGCTGCCTTCACTTTCAGCACCTTGGGATATCAAGGCAACACACTGAACTAATAACTTATTCGTGGAAACCAGAGGAAATGGCAGAGAGATCGAAGCTTTCCCAAACACCTAACTTACAGCCAAGGAAAAGCCAAAGTCTTGGAAGAATTAGGTGCACTAATAATTTATAGTTGATCTTTATTTTGGCAGATTTTATATTAAGATGATGTTTCTACTACTGATGACCATTGTGATTATGTAACTATTTTAGCATTTAGCATAATGCATGATACATTGCATTACGTAGCACCTTTTAAGCTAAGGATCTCCAAATACTTAGCATATGCAATTTGCTCTCACAGCACCTGTGAGGTAGGTGTTTTTTTTTTTTTTTTACAGCCATTTTACAAATGAGCATATTGAAGCACAGCAAGATTAAGATGCCTGCTCAGATGGCTCAAAAATATGGTGGCATCAACAGGACTTGGACCTAGGCTTCCCCACCTCAATCACAGAGCCCCCAGAACACCTCATAACAGCATTGCTGCTAAAGGTACTTGGATGTTTTCAGATGTTAGAGAGTCTCGCATCTGTCAACAGTAGGGCCAAATCTTTTAATAATATTGGTAACCCTTAAGATTTTCTCAAGTACTTCGCAAATGTATGAGAAGGCATCTTATACTATTGCTAAGCTTATGTTAATTATAATGCATACCTAAATCTGTGTTTTCTCAATGTGATTTGTTTTTCTCTGGCCTCCTACCAACTTATTTTCTGTACTAGGATTCATGTGCCTACCAGATCCAGAAACTGTGAAATGCGCTTAGTGACATTGTAGGAAAGGAAGCGGGTGAGATTACATTTGGCAAAGTCTCCTTGGAGGCACTATGTAATGTTTGTTCTGAAAGAGCAAAAAGGAAAAAAAAAAAAAAAGGAAAAATTCTCTTGTTTACTTTGTTAAGTAGCATTTTATATACATCCCACCCGCTGACCAGGTTTAATCCTTGGATGAGCGAGCAGAGTTGATTTCTAAACCTACAGAATATTTTATTCTCAAGTTTAAATCCCCATCTATTTAACTGCAGCCTCCCTGCCAGTACCAAGTTCATTTCTTGGTGGAACTGCAAATACTGTACACATTACATGGCAATATATGTAAAAATTTAATGTAACAACACACACAATATTAATAATCACATCTAGTGTGTCTTCCTGACCGTGCATCATTTCTGAATTGTTTTTGATAAAGTTATTTATTTATTCATTTTTGCAGAGATGATATGAAGACATTATTGTGAGTTTCAGTTTCCCAATAACCAAATTTTTATCTAAGATGCACAGTACATAAATCCTAGGAGTTGCTTGGCAGTCACTTTTCAAGATAAATGGCAATGCCTTGGGACCTGAGAATGAAATTTGGCCCTTCTAACTCATTTATTGTTTCTATGACCAGAGCCTAACATTTGTAAATTGGTAATCCAAGAAAGGAACTAGAAGCAGGAAGCAAAAACTATACAAAACCCCTTCACCAGTCCATTTCCCCTGGTGACACCTGTAAAATACCAACACCTTAGGCCCCATTTCTTAAAAAAACAAAAACAAAAACGTATTTACATCGGTAAAAATCCTAACATCTGAGATGTTTCTTGCTTGACATGTCATTCCAGATTCTGTGCATTTCTTCTGGGGAGATTTGATGCACGGTGATAACTCGGCGATACCTACACAAACTGTAGGCCATTTTCCAGTGATTGAAGCCACTGTTCTGGAAAGGATGTATGCCCAGTTTTCGAAGACACAGTCCCACATATACGTCTTCAAGGTGAAGCAGCCTTGTGTGGAGTGAGGTTTTGTAAATAAGTTCAGCCACATCTGCTGAAAAGATATAGCCAGTCCCCGAACAGAACGGTGGGTAGTTACTGTCAGGGTACAAATCCCTGGGCATATACCACTTACTGCGGACGTCCCGAATTGGCCCTCCATTGATGACATAGCCAGTAAAATATCTTCTTCTTGGCTTGGTGGAGGGTTTCAGTAATTTATAAATAAGGTTGTCCATGTTTACAAAAATGTCACTGTCTGTTTTCATGACGTACTTGGCTTTTGAACAAAAAGTGGCCACCCACCTCATCCCCATGAGTGTTTTGAGGGTCAGGTTGTGGTAGGAGTCAATGAAGTCCTCCACGATGATGTCGTGGAAGATCTGGCTCTCTTGCTCCACCATCTGGTTCAGGACAGGGTCAGCGTTCTTGCCCAGGAGGAAGAGAGTGGCGATCTTGATCCCTTTGAAGTTGTTCTCGTCCCCCCACGTCTCTCGGATTGCCTGGCGGGCATCGAATTCCTTGTGGGTGGTGCTGATGAGGATAACAAGGAAAGGAATGTTTTTCTCACATTTGTTCGGCTCATTTATAAGAAATTCAAAAGAATGCGGGTTTATAGGTCGAGTTCTTATGTTGCCAAAGGTGAAGTTTTTCCTGGCGACTGTTAGGTGGCTGAATGGCTTGGAGCCAGTGTAGGAAGAAGTGGGACGGGTTATGCTCAAGTACCAGAGAGCGCTGGCCCAGCACACAACTGTCAAAACGTACAAACAGGAGACCTTTGAAGCCATTGTCTTGAGAGCACGTCTATTCCAAATACGGAAGAATACGCTTTCTTGGCACTAGTTTCTTTTCATCTTCCAAAGGCAGCATATTACTAATAAATCTTAAAGTTTAATAGAGAGGCGTGAGTCAGGGATTGTCCGTGTGCCTCAGTGGCACTCTGGCATCTTGGCATGTGCTCTGCTGTCTTCCGAACAGGGTGGATCATTCCATGCCTCATAAATCTTCCTCATAACTCTGCAAAATCAATAAAGTATAGTTGTCATTTAGATTTATTTAGTCATTTCACATCATCAAACAAGCATAATAAGGGTGTAAGAATTGCCCATGATGACTAAAACAAACATGATCATTCATTTCCATCAGTACTGAAAACTTTCTGACTTTTCCTCACTTCTTGATAGAAGTTGTTTATGTATATCCATATCCAATTAACAAATTTATAGATTATAAACTCTAAATAAACATGAAGTAATTTTTAAAAAAAGTTTCCCCCTCTTCTTAGAGGCCTTTGTTTCAGTTAAATACTTTCTGGCACTAAAGTCTTCTTTCAAGCAAGAAAGTCTCCCGCATGGCCTCATATCTCTTTTCCATTTTTCCGTGTCTGAGTTTTTGTTTGCTTGATGCTGATGAAGGAATCAGTTCTCATCCTCTCCTTGCTTCCTCTAACTCCTTATTTGAATATATATTGATGACCACTGGGAAATCTCTGCTAACACTGTGTTCCCTTTGGCTCAGACTTCAAAGTAATTCTCAGCTGTTCCTCACTTTCTCCTTACTTTGGCTCTCACAACTCTTAGTTCCTAATTCTCAATTTTCCACAGTCTTTATGCAGAGAATATCCTGACTCTTCATGCATGGAACCTGTCACCTCCATGTCCTTTCAGACCACGGGCAGCATTTATTTTGGAGTTGATTTAAATGGTGTTGCTTTTTATGGTTTCCAACAATTCACTCATATGTTCCCTTGAAGAAATTATATTCACCTCTTTAAATTTTTTTTAAACTTAGTTACATTTGCTTATAAATATAGCATGAGTATAGCAAGAGAGACAATTGAGCTTGGGGGCCACAAATCCAAAGAAGATTTGATGAAAGACTTCAATTTGGTGCTCAAATTTTGAAGTTATTCTTTGGAACTCTAATCCTTTCTAGAACTTCTAGTGCTTTCTGGAAATTTTTTGGACTTCATGCCAATTAAAGCTATATGCCAGATTACAAAATCCATTCATGTAAAAAATTGTTTCTTCCTTTCTCGTTACAGCAGAATGTGGTAGTCCTGGAAGGCAGAGATAGTAGAGAATAGATATCAATTTTAACAAAGTCTGCTTCAAAGAAAACTATGTGCTTAAATGTACAGACTGTTTTGAAATAATTTAACTGGGAATATAGATTGAAAATCATGCTTCTAAGCATAATAGTCATAATAAAATAAAAAGACATGATGGGCAACAGCAGAGATAATATACATCCTCTTGTCTAAGCCAGGAGCGGATTGTAAATATACAATCCATATGAGACCAGGAATAACTCAGTGTAGTTATAGTTCTAACTAAATGAATATTAGAATGGCTTCAAGCAGCATGACTCTAGATATAGTCAGGCCTTCATCCAACCCATAATAAGTACTCTCTAAATATAGGCTCTGGTATCCTTGGCCTTCTGGGGGAAATTTCTACTCTAAGGTGCACCAGAGCTGATAAAAAGAAGGTTGTGATGTGCAGCAAGCTTCGAAACTTTAAACAGCAAGCAAAAGGAAGTGAGAGATGCCAGTAACAGAGAAAGGGGCTTCTCGACTTGGGATATATAGACATGGACTCCACTTCAATTCTAAAAGGTTGTAAGTGAGTCCCAAGATGGTACTAGAAACATACCTTCTCTACCATTGTCCTAGCCTGTGTGTCTGATTCTTATAAGCCTACCTTTATCATCATATTGCCTTTGTCCCCGTGTGTGTTTTCCTACTAAATTGTGAGTCACCTATTACTAGATGGCAGGAGCCTCCCAAAAAGGCTCACCTGGAGGTGGCTCCTGCCAGGTAATATTTGGGAGCCAGTAATCAGGCTATTAGTGGAGGATTTCTCCACTTTATATATATTTCAATCTCCTTTTTATTATTCCTTTCCTGTCCCTATGGAGTTAATTTCCCAAGTTATTATCCCCTACCTCTATAGTCACACCTTCATTCAGCTCTTAAATTTATTCATTCGTTAACTGATTTATTCATCAATCAGCTAGTTAATAAAATATTTATTGAATGCCTGTTGTGTGCAAAGTATTGGAAAAACAGAAATAGAACATATATTCCTGCCTTAAGAAACTCTTAGTCTGGGAGGAAAGATTTCAAGTAAATTATTAAAACTGTGGAATAAAAATTTTCCTTGCGAGGCTATTTGAAGTATGCAGGCAGGTTGGGCAGTGGACAGAATATGGGAGGACCAAGTACAGTCCTGCAGATTGTGCACAGGACAACTCCAGAGGGTACTGTTCACATAGGCTGCTATGTGAATCCTACTCCTCCACCCCACCCCAGAGTCACACAATGAGGGAGTCCTGGGGAAGATGCTATGGCAGGTTCAGAAAAGGTGAGCTACGCTGAATCTTCAAGAACAACTAGATATTATCTGGATGGCAGCTGGGCATTCTAGGCAAAGGAAAGGGCATATGCAAAGGCATAAAATAAGAGAGAGCATGGTGTGTACCAGGACTTATATCCACAGTCCCCCTTCTCGATACTCCCACGTTCCTCCCCATCACCCTGTCCTCTTCCTTTAATCAAGTATCCTCTTCCTTTAAACACTTGATTAAAGGAAGAGGACAGGGTGATGGGGAGGAGGGAGGGAGTATCAAGAAGGCAGACTGTGGATATAAGCAGGGGTCAGATGGGAAGTGGTGCTGAGAAACCATCCTGAGCTGAGTAGCTGGTTACCCATCTGTGCAATCTAAAGGGTGTGAGGGAGGATTTTCCCTCCCCCAATCCTGTTCACTGATTTCAATAGCAAACCATTCTTCCATATTAAAAATTTCTTTCACCCATAGTTCTATGTCCTAGAAGAGTGAGAAATTTTATCTGATACCTTTCTGTATAATTTTCTGGGGGAGAAGGGGTTGCATAAACATAGATTCCTAGGCAGTTTAGAAAGAGCTAAACAATATTAATAAATAAAGGGAGAAATATAATAGAAATAGGTGAGAACATGAAAAAAGTTTATGTATTTATAAACATCTTTTCACAAAAGAATGAGCATTCTTTTCTGGACAGGAAATAAACATAACACTTCTTACCATTATTATCATAGCTCTCATTTTAAAATGCATATGGTAGACCAGGCACTGTGCTATATGGTGTATTCTATGCTGTTCTATTCTACTTTATAGAGTTTCATTCCTTATAGTATTACAAGAGAGGTATAAGTTTCTCCATTTGAGAGAGGAGAGAATGGAAACTCAGGGATATGAAGTAGTTTGCTCCAGATGACACAGCTAGTGATTGACTAGGTAAATAGTTGCTCCCAAGCTTCCTAAGGCCTGTTGGAGGAATAGGCATAATCTTGGATGGGAAAGCCCAGGGTGGTAGGGAGCATCTCAGGCTGCTATTCTCCCTATCCATGCATTTATTTTCTTAGACGTGTTTCCGTTGCTTGGAATTTTTCTAATTCATTCTGGTTCACTACACACTATACCAATTCTGGAGGGATTCTTGATTATCAAAAAGCGATGATTTGCAAAGAGCACATTAAAACTTGAAGATGCTAAGGGCAAGTTGGGGAAGCTGCAATCATTGAAGAGGTTTAGAAACACTTTGCAGGCTCCTTTCCCTGAAGTCCTGAAACACATACACACATATGTTAAAACAATCACTACTTCTATTGACCTTTTTTTCTTCAGACATAAGAACAAAAGTAGGCATAGTATTACATCTTAGTCAATACTAAATGCAAGTTAGGATTTAGTAAATCCTCTATTAAAAAACAGAGGATTTGAAATATGAAAAGGAACTAGCATAAAATATGAAGAGTGGCCATGGATAATGTGGATTAATAGCAAGGAATGCTAAAAAATGGCCTTTTTGCTTATGACAAACCAGATTTCCCAGGTATAAAACAAGTATAAAAATATGCTTCTGGGCCAGAAATAGTAACATAACTAAAGACAAGAAAGAGAAGCATGATGCGAGGAACTCCAAAGGCTAATTTCATGTATGTTGGATGAAGTAGTTGGTAATGGGCCAGTACGTCCATGGTTCCACTCCTTGAGTAATCCTAACCTGCGATGTGGGTTTTGTGTGTCTTAGTAGCCTTAAATATAAAGAAAGGGAGAAAATAACATCTGTTTTATCTCCAAATACATTATAGGTATTAACAACCACTGCCAAATCGTTTGGGTTTCTGCCGAAAGGGTTCTGTCCTGGCAGATGGTATTACCATACGAAAGGTAGGATCCAGTGTGGGTGAGGGGATTATGTTGGTTCATTGAGTTCGTGGTTTTACATCCTGAGCACATATATTGATCAATTCTTCTAAATAAATAATATTGCTGCTAGTGTTTTTGTTTGTTCATTCAGATTAGTGAGCACACAGTGCAGATTTTCCTGACAGAGAAATCTGTTTTCTTCCTGGAAAACTCAAAGCAAAAACCCTGCTGAAAAGCAAAAGGAAAAAAAAAGTCAGCTGAAAAGTTCTGGCGAAGGCACTGAGTGCCACAAAGCAGAATCCTCTGGAGTGTTCTTTCAGTTTTACAAGATTTTTAAAAATCCTTTTTAACAGACAAGTTAATGTATCAGTAAAATAGAAAGTTGCACATGTAACATTTGTCATTCCTTTTAGCAGCTTTACCACAACCACAGACACTGATGACACATTATGTGGTCATCCATTAAATACAAATCCCTCCAAATAGAAACATTCGGCTGGAACACATGAAAGATTTTCCCCCCAGAGGCCGACTGTATTTCAGATTACCTCATTCACAGAACTCTCCAGTAACTATCCACCTTCACCTTTCAGGAAGTTAATGGGGCAGAATTTTCAATTAAGAAGCTAGCATCTCCTAGAAACTGCATGGTGGATTGTCTGTTATTTTGAATTGCTGATTTTTAAAAATCCCAAAACTTGCTGAAATTCTTCTTTTGTATAGCTAGAGGTAAGTTCTAGGAGCAGGTGGGTCGTGTCTCTTTGGTGAACTGTGCACAGTTTGGGGTGTCAGCTCCATGTCCATTTCCATCATGGTTCAG